TTGACCCAATGGAGGCCCAATGGGGGACCCAATGGGGACCCAATGGGGGACCCAAAGGTTGACCCAACAGGGACCTGAAGGGGGACCCAAGGGGGGGGACCCAAGGGGGGGACCCAACAGGGACCCAAAGGGGGGGACCCAAAGGTTGACCCAACGGAGACCCAAGGGGAACCCAAGGGGGACCCCAAGGGGACCCAAAGGTTGACCCAAAGGTTGAGCCAACGGGGACCCAATGGGGGACCCAATGGGGACCCAAGGGGGGGACCTAAAGGTTGACCCAATGGGGACCCAAGGGGGGACCCAATGGAGACCCAATGGGGGACCCAAAGGTTGACCCAACAGGGACCTGAAGGGGGACCCAAGAAGGGGACCCAAAGGGGGGGACCCAGGGGGGGGACCCAATGGGGGGACCCAAAGGTTGACCCAACGGTTGACCCAAAGGGGACCCAATGGGGACCCAATAGGGACCCAATGGTTGACCCAATGGGGACCCAAAGGTTGACCCAACGGGGACCCAAAGGTTGACCCAACAGGGACCCAACGGGGACCCAAAGGGGGGACCCAACGGGGACCCAAAGGTTGACCCAACAGGGACCCAACGGGGACCCAAAGGGGGACCCAAAGGTTGACCCAACGGGGACCCAAAGGGGACCCAAAGGTTGACCCAAAGGTTGACCCAATGGAGGCCCAATGGGGGACCCAATGGGGGACCCAAAGGTTGACCCAACGGGGACCCAAGGGGGGGACCCAATGGGGACCCAAAGATTGACCCAAAGGGGGACCCAAGGGGGGGACCCAACGGGTGCAGGTGGCGCCGGCGCACCAGAAGACGGGGCTGTCGCCGTCGTCGCGCACGCGGTAATAATCGCAGCCGCGGGGCAGCGCCTTGGCCAGGCCGAAGTCGCCGATCTTGACGCGGCGCTCGCTCTCCAGCAGCACATTGCGCGCCGCCAGGTCCCGGTGGATGTAGTGCAGGGAGTGCAGGTAGGACATGCCCTGGGGGGGGGAGGGGGAATGGGGGGCGTTGGGAGGGGGGAAATGGGATGGGAG